ACAGTAGGAAATATGTACATATGAATACGTAAATATTGCAAACACTGAAAATACAACCAAAAAAGTTTATATAAAACAAGGAAGATAAGTCCGACCATAGAGATACCCTGCTGCAAGTAAACAATACTCTACTGTAATTTTACTTGTAATCATATTTAAAGGTTGCTGCTACTTCTTTGTAATGAAACATAAAGTTTTATGAAATAATAGTGCGCGGAAATCGTTTATTATATTCTAATATATGTAAGTGTGAAATGATAATTTTTATATATTAAATTCCAAATACTTTTACAAATATTTATTGTGGTGTAGAGTAAATAAACGGATTCTTTACTGTTATAACGTTTAATGCAATTGCATTGTATTTATGCAGATATGCTTTGAAAGTATTTGGGCGCAAATAACTAAATAAATAAAACCATCAAAACAATATTCTGTACACAGTTTCTGAATATAAATTTTTTTCCTATAAATTCTGCCCAAAAAAAAATATTTTTTAGATATAACTATTAAATTTTAATAAAAAACTAGCTATACCCAGTGTGCTTTGCTACCCTAAAAGGAATATGTATAAATAAATACCAGATTTATTATATGTTACATATGAAAGATGTCAAGCAAATTATTGCAAGTTCTCCATTTTCTATCTATCGTCAATTTCTATCTATCTATAAAAATTTGAATAATATAAGAGTTTCCAAGTTGCACGAAATTCTGTATTTAATTCATATATGTTGTGCCAAGCCACCCATTGAAAGTCCGCCCGTTATGCTCTAAACGTTCACATGAATTTCAAAGTTCTCCATGTAAAATTTTAAGATTCTAGCTCTAATAGCTTCTCTGATATAGGAATTTTTCCATTTGATTCATGTGGGGGCTTCAAGACCCCCCAGATGAAAGTCCGCTTTTTTTTTTCTCCAAAATGTTCAGATGAATATTTAAGTTCTTCGTGCGAAATTTAAGCATTTAGTTCCATTAGTTTTCCAGATAAACGAATTTTTGTCTTTAATTAATATGGGAGGTGCCGCTCCCCTCATGGGTAGTCCGCCAATTTATAACCCAAAATGTTTAGATGGATGTTAAAGTTTTTCGTGCAAAATTTGAAGATTCTCACTGTAATAGTTTCCAAGATAAACGTATTTTTGTATTTAATTTATATGGGAGGTGCCACGCCCCCTAATGATAGTCCGCCTACTTTTTGTCCTAAACAATTATATTGACACTAAAGTTGCTCCGACAACATTTGAGGACTCTAACTGTTATTTTATCTAAAATATACGGATTTAATATATTCTTAATATAGGCGTGGCTCCTCGCCCACTTGAAATTTCAAAATAAAAAGTAGCCTATTACCTATTCCAGACATACAGGAATACGCTTTGAAAATTTGAATAAAATCGGTTCAGCCGTTTAGTAGTCTATAACGTTCAAACATACAAACATATAAACATACAAACAAACACACATTCATTTTTATATATATAGAAGAAGAAGAAAAAGATAACTAGTTTACGTTTTTAATTTTTTCTATAAAAATTACGTTTTTCCCAAATTTTTGGGCAACAGTGTTACTGAATGATACCAAAAATGTTTAATGGCCCAACAATTATTCAAATTCAAAATACAACCTACAAATTGCATTAAATAAATTATAGAGGCGTAGGCGATTGTTAACCTTTTGTTTCAATATACATAGATATGAATAGGAAATACACTACGCAAATTAGTTGTTTTATGATAAACAGAGTAACAATTGTTTAAACATTTTTATTATACGATATTTAGAGAAAAATCAGTTATTATGACGCAAAATGTATTCAGGCATTACGTGAAACTGAAATATGCAACATTATGTACTTTTAGTGAAAAAAATTTTATTTTCATTTTTTCTGTCAAGTGAATTTTTATATCTAATTTTAATTTTATAACAGTTTTTAAAAGTCTGTTACAAAAGCCAGCAAATTTTTAACTTAAAGCATTGATGAACTCGAATCTTTTCTAATACTATATATTGCTATATGGAAAAGGTTGGCTACATCTCAATATATTCAATATAATTCTAATGATGGTATTATAGTCAAATACTATTGTCCAGTTATAGAAATGCATTGAGGAAAAATTTAGGGCTATAGGACTGGTGGCACCACGGCTCTGAAAGGAAAAACGATTTTTTCAAAAATGTTGACACTAAATTTAACTTTTTTGAGTTTTAACAGCAAATAGTTGGAATATATATTCAATTATGGTTCCAATAAGATACAAAACACAAAAATCGGTTGAAAATTATAAAACTTATTAAAAATTCCTCAGATAATTTAATGTCACAAAACACTTAAATGAGAAATATTCCAAAAAAAATTCACACATTTTGGCAAATATTCCAATAAAATTATAGCAGTACAATAACATATTTGTATTAACTTCTAGCTTATGCTTCAATAATCTGGTGGACTGCTTTGGACAAAAAGTTTAATATCAAACTACTACAGGGAGTTCAGCGTACATGCTGCTTGGGTATAAGTGGTGCCATGTGTGCTACTTCAACCAAAGCTCTGGAAACGTTGCTGGATATTACACCCATTGAAACTGGCCAAAAGCGGTTATAGGACACGTCATCAATGTATACTGGACACATTGGAAGGTTATACACAATCATCGGACGTGCCTGATCGTATACCAGACACAGAATATGTCGGAAACTTTGATACGTTGATCTCAGATAGAATGTCTTGGTCAAGCGGAAAACTGGAGCAAATGCCAGTAGGAATTCGTTGCTATACGAATGGCTCTAAATTGGGGGAAAAGGTGGACCTCTATATTGAAGACCCAGAAACAGAAATATACCACCATTTACATATATACTGACAGCGAGAAGGCAATTAGGGCGATATCAGGTGATAGAATTAAATCTAATAAATAATTGGATTGTAAAAAAGCTTTAACTGAATACTCTCCCAGCAAGGAAGGGAGCTTGAGGTAGTTAACCTGACTAATGCAAAACCATTCGACGCAACAAAAGCTGAATTAAAAATATGGATGAGATAATCCCATAAGGCCTCTTGGAATAATGAAACGGTGGGTAGAACCACAAAGATCCTATGGGGTGACCCTGATGAGAACAAGGTGAGAAATCTCCTCAAAATGAGCAAGTCTGAAGTATGATGGTACGTATTCTGAGTGGACACACAGGATAACGAGTACATCTATACAAAATTGGCCGTGCGGATTCAGACGAATGTAGAGCATGTGGAGGAGACAGTGAAACTCTGTAGCACTTTCTTTGCCACTGTCAGCCATTCGTCGAAGATAGATCCAAGTATCTTGGAAGTGGTGTTATTCCGGAAATAACAGTGATTGGAAAATTCTTAGGAATTACGTCCAGGAAACTGAGTTTCTGAACATTGAAAAATAATGTACCCAATGAACAATTTTTTCATGAAAGAGAGCGCACAACAGGCCCTATGGCCTGGCCTATGTGTATTTCTTCGGATTTAATGTACTATACATCCTCCTATCAACATATCCTAACTTAAAAGACAGTTTTTATCTTCATTAGATGGTGTAAACCATATTTGGGGTATAGTCAAAAATGGAAAATCCTTCAGACGGCAGTTTTAAATCTCTAGTTTTAAACTTTTAACAATTTTGTTAAACAAATTTTAAACTTTTCGGAAAATGTGCATGTATGTTATGAACAATAAAAAAGGGAATAAGATAGTAAAGAAATTAGGTCGATATCTCCCACAGATTAGCGGTATCTGCGATTTGAATTTTGAGTATTTCGGATAAAATAATTTGTTGTTAAAATTTTTGAAAAACAGGCTTTATTCTTTACTGTTATGAATTGTATATAAAACTTTCTCAGAATATATAATTCAAGATAATAGGAAACATACATGCGAAGGTTAAGTAAATTCGAATAATGTTAACCCTTAAAACTTTCAAGGTCAAACTCAAGCTATGCAATATTGGGAAATTTTCTTGAAACCATAGTGAGGTATTATTTTACTTTCCAACGATTTAAATAAAAAAATATATACCGAAGACCCGTTTTTATGATGATCGAAAAAATTTAAATTAACCCTTAAACGGCAATATATTTTTATAATTATATAAAATGTCCGTAATATATGAACAAAATATTCGATGCTATTTTGCGAGAAAATGGTGGGTGATAGAAAAAAACAGATATCAGATTAGGATTCAGCAGCTAGAAATATGTATATTAAAAATATTCAATTGGTTTCAAAAGTTTTCACAAACATATAATTCGTTGGCCTGTGTTATCAACGGGTTATTTTTTGTTTGTTAAACATTTTTTTTCCACACAAAATTTCCATTATAAACCATTAATAACTTTGTTAATCAATCATGAATTTCGGTTTTAAACTTTAAAACATTCTCTGAGAAGTATGCAATGTATGCAGTTTGGGCATGTTGCTACGGAATTTTTCAAAACCCATTATAACTTTTAATGAAATTATTAAATATGTCATAATGAAATATAAAAAGTACGCAAAATTAAACTTGCAATAATATTTAAACACGTACGGTGAAAGAAAAAAAAAACAAAAAAAAAAAAATACCTTTAATTTTTACAAGGTTTAACTCTAACTTTATTGGCCTAATTTGTAAAACATTTAAATTTAAGTTTTTTCATAAAAGGACTAATGTAAACAAATATTTAAGAGAGTGCCAAAACGCAGAGAATGTTTTCGTATTAAGAAAGAGAGAACTTATTTTCCCTAGTCTCTGCTCTCTCAAAAGTTCTCTCTATTATTTCATACGAAAAATGTCCTTTTTGTCGATAATACCGTATCCTTCGTTTATTTATGAAAACACAAACAACGAGCAAAAGCTTTCTGTTGCTCATTTGCCAGGAGCAACGTTATAGACAAAAGAAACACAAACACATGAAATGTTGTCGTAGCTCCAGACAGTCATATACAATTTAAAATAATCAGTATTTGCTTGAAAAGCGTTTAGTTAAAAACGGAATGCGTTACGGAATGGTCGCCGCTTATTAACAAAATCTCAAAACAGAAACGCGCAAGGATACGTTTTAGTTTGAAAGTTAAATAAAAAGAAAAATTTAATATTCGATTTTAATATAAAGATAAAAATAAAGGAAAATTAAAAATTATTATAAATATTTTATAAAGTGAATTTGCAAGATGTGTTTGCTAAGCAAAAACTTTATTGCAAATAATTAATTATTAATACAATACAAAAAGTGAAGATGAAATATTGTGTTTTTATATAATTAAAAGAAAATAATGAAAAAAAAAGTAATAATATGAAACAAAAATTTGGGGCTTTTATCAACTTTATAATTTAAGCCATATTATGTTTGTTGTTGATTTGAGTGGCGCTAATAGGATTTATTACTATGGGAATAATTAAACACATCAAAGTTTATTTGTTTCATCGAAGTAAGTATAAATCCATACACCAACAATCACAGACATTTACATATACATATATATATATATGTATGTTTGTATGTATGTATATGTTTACAAGTGTGTGTAAATAAAGTTAAATATGCAGGCTTCAGCCATTGAGGTTTGAAATTTATTTTGAACATGGAAATGTTTCAAATTCCTGCAAACACGTGAGTTTTATTTCTTGGAATCGCTTTTTTTTAACTTTCATACGAACTTACAAACATTTGTGCGTATGTGTATGTATATAATTCCTATGATTTTGTTTTATACTCCTGAATCCTATGATGTTCATTATTTTGTAAAATGGTTAAATGAAACTATTTTTTTCTTTCTTGATTTCTGTATTTCTAAAGAAAAAGTGTGATTTTTTTTTTAACACTTTCATAGTTAAGTTGATTTTATGTATTTTCGCGTGCTCCAAATAAAATTGGCGATAAAAAAGGAACTTGTAACTGTAGAGCATAAACGAGAAAAAAATCATAATTGGAAAAGTTTTGAAACTTTCAAAGTGTGTTGTGGGTAAAAGGAAAAACTTGGAAAAACATTTGTTAGAGTTTTTGAATTATTCTTGTGTTCTGTTTTTTTTGCACACTTTATTGTTACTATTTTATCATAAGAGTTGCCAGTAGTTTTTTGTATAATTAAGTTGGTACCAACTATGGAATAAATAGATAATTTAAAAAGTTTTTTTATATTATTCTACGAAATTTTATTTTAGACAGGTGTTAGAATTTGTATATAATAATTTATTTTTATCTTAAAAGATGTTTTTGTTTTTGGGCATCTTGTTTTTTATTTTATAAAATTAGCTTACTTCGTAATTTTGAGTTAGTATACCTTTCGCATAATTGCTTAAGTTTTATAAGAAAGAGACACCTCGCATTAAGACTTATGTATGTATGTAAAGTTTGTATCCAAAGGTTTCGATGTTTGGAACGTAAAATATGATGTTTATTGTTGAAATTGTTTTATTAATCAAATGTTCATAAAACATCATTTTTATACCCTATACCACTTTAGTGGGGAGGGTATATTGGATTTGTGCTGATGTTTGTAAGATAGAATCGTTTTCTGAGTCGATATGTCCGCTATGTCCGTCCTTCTGGCTGGCTGTCCATGTAAACCTTGTGCGCAAGGTACAGGTCGCAATTTTCAAGATAATTGGATGAAATTTGGCACGCACGTTTTATTTGACCCATTGAAAATGGTTAAAATCGGTCCATTATTTCACCTAGCCCCCATAGAACAGAACCCCCCGAAAAGGGCTTTTGAGCTCATAATTTGTTAAATATACAGATATATCGATAAAATACGGGACAACTAAGTTTTATAGAAGTCTTGATGACCCTGCCAAATTTCATAAAGATCGGCTCCCATACAAAGTCTCCTTTAGAAAATTACTTGAATGTCCCAAATTAACTTATAAACACAAATATCGTGATGAAATTCAAATTTTTACGCAAGAAAATTATATTATTATGTATTTAGAAATAAATAAAAACATTTTTTTTATATATGAGAAGAAAATTGTGTTTTTTTATTAATTAACAATGTGTCCAAAAAAATCTTTATTATACTCCGATTTTAAGTGATATCAATCTATATAAAAATAACACTATATAACGGCTATAGACGTCATTTGCAACCACGAGCGTTCGTGCTGGACGTCATTTACGTCAATGTGATAATAATGCTCCTTTGAAATCTGTCAAGTTTTATTAGTGATGCTTATCCTTACAATTACACTGGTCTGCAAAAATATTCTTTGTGCTTCTTTAAATTTTAATGGCTGATTGGGATAGATTTAGTAGTCCTGTAAGCATTCCTGACCATTTTATTTTATATTTTATTCTTTTTTGTAATATCCCTTGGTGGAACCTTTCGAAAAATGAAATTGTAATTACATATTACATTTAAAATTTTGATATGCAGAGAAAATTTCTTAAAGTGCTAGAAGTGTATCCATCAAAGTGTATTGAACAAATATCTTATAAGCTTCACAATTATTATCCATAATTTATTTATTATAATTTTTTAAGGTTTTTGAATTTTAAACCAGGGAAACCAAAATATGCAAGCACCGTGTAGATTCATGGAGAAAATATTTGCACGTTTCAGAACAATTTAAGAATTTGGAATCGATTTGTTAGCGTATATTTTTGCAGATTTTACCCATAAGAGCATAACTTTGCATGATTTGATTTTAAAAGCATATTTGAAGCATGTTTCGAACTTTTCGAAAACTTATTATAATTTCAGTGCTTATAAGGTCAAATGAGGTCCGATCATTATGAAAATCGTCAGTATCATATAGGTTTATATAAATTTTATTAACACAATTATGAGATATAAAGCGATATGTGCAAGTCCGGCGACTAGTTGAAGCAACGCAAGATTTTAAAAAAAATCAGCACCAAATTTTGTTGAATTATCTTTAAAAATGCAAAAGTTCTAAAAGTGTTCATTTGGTCTGTCCCGGTATACGGGACCCCAGGCCATAATTTCTTGATGAGAGACCGCATCTTGGTATATTGCAATCCGGGGGAAAAGAGGTTCTACTAATACCTCTAGTCTGCCGGGACTATAAACTGGTTAAGTTACTTTACTCCTCGGCTAATCCTTGGTACTACAGATGGCCAGTTGCCCATAGAACTTGTCCTGGCTGGTCAGTTGGTTGAGGTTCCTTCGGAATCCAAGTAATGGCTGTGGTTTAAACCCAAATTCGCGGGAAGAGATTGTTGGTTTAAGGGCTTGTATTGTGTACAAAGCAGCATATGCTGGATTCCTGAACCCGATCGGTATATGCTGGGGAATTGTCAGGTTAACATTCAGTAGTTGCCTCTTATTCCGTGGAAAGATCTTTATGATAATGGGAATGGAACTGATGCAAAAATTGGTAAAAGATTGGGAAAGTCTCCATATATTAGAAACTAGTACTGATTGTCTCTTTACCCTTCGGGGAAGTTTCTCGGTGCTGTTGCCATCTCAACAGGATATATTGATTTATGCTACTCGACTAATTGTCGGGGCAATTATTGGTTTCAGTTAACTTTGGAAATTCTTACATCCTTTGTTACAGATCGGTTCATGAAAAGGGATCCTGATTTATTATCTTGGGTATTTCGGGCTACCAAATACGCTTGTACACCGGCACAGCCATGTACAAAAATTGCCACCTGATTTATTCATTGAAGATTGAAGGGGCGATGGTCGACTGTTCTCAAGGCCACCCAGTGGATGAAAAGATCACTGTCAGATAGGCCAACACGGCAGGTACTCACGTAAAGCATTTCGGCATTCATTTGTCCCGCTTTACCTTTTCGTGAAATTTCCCATATGTATATATATTAGGGTGTCCCGTGGACAACTTTTTTATATGAATACCTTTTAAACGATGCGTATTAATAGGAGTTAAAATAAATAATATATATTTTTAAAAGGGCCTCAGTTTTCTACCAGCGATTGAAAATCTTGATCTAAGTACAATATGTCAAAAAAAGTATCTCCAATCTTTCGAAATGATAATTCCATAATTTTAAGCTGAAAAATAATTTTTAAAAATTTAAAAAATTATATTTTATTTTTCTCGTGTTCAGTATATTAATACGTATCGATTGAGAGATTTCTCGGAACACCCTAATTTATATGTATTATCACCATCATTGGTTAAAAATATAACATTTTCTTTACGAATAAATTTACTTGGAAATTTAAAGTGTCAACAGTAATATAGTTTTTATTTAAACTCTGTGACATTTGGTAACAATTCAAGGAATTTTTATGACCTTGTTTTATTGTTAACATGTGTTCTTGGTAAAAACTATTATACAATTTTTACTTTATTTAAAACAAAGTTATCAAACAATTTAATCTGTATTGATTTTTCTTCGTTGTCTAATGAGTTTTAAAGTAGAATTAAACAAATATTTAAAAGTTTACACTTACAACCTGGATGAAATGAGTAAGAAGAGAAAGAAAACAAAAAACAAATACTGAAACTTAATAGTATTTTCTCTTTCTGAATCACAAGTGACAGCTTAAAATGCAGGCGGAAATAAGACACCAATTTAATTGATGTTCAGCAGTAACGTCTGCGACGGAAATTAAACTTTACAGTAGAAAACAAGAAAACTTTCAAAAGAAAACGACAGCGATTGGTAGAAATTTTAAAGTGTAACGAATAATGTTAACAAATGGCTTCTTTTAGACATGGTTTTACTTTTTATTTGTAGTAAGTAAAAACATATCAATTGATTTTATTTTTCTAGATATATAAATAAACAAAACTTCATTATATAAGGTTTGAAATAAACTTTTATTTTAGTTTTTTATTTAAGGAAATATGTAGTTAACATGTAGGTTATATTTTTATTAGTAAAAATGTCAATTGATTTTTTTACGTCATACTTAAGATGTTATTAAATGTACTGTATTTTTGTTATGATTAATGTGTGAGTACACTTATTTGTGTATTATTGTTAAAATATACATATGTATGTATTCAATATACATATTTATATAATTTATTTATTGGAATACAAAAACGTATAGCAAAAACCTAGTCCACAAAAAAATGTCTAAGAAAATTTCCCCTGCAAAATATGGGTCTAAATTCTACCGAGACTCGTCCAAATTCACATATAAGGCTTTTTTAAAAACAACATATTTATGAACTTATATGTATGTATTAAAATTTTATATATTCTAACTATTAACAATTGATTTAACCAAAAAACAATCCACCCTAATATACAAGTTTTGATATTCCTATGAATTTTCTGTGTCAATCCAGCAAATATTTTTCTCGTTCAAAACATAAAGTATTTTGTTTCTATTTTATGGCCATGACCATCGTTAGAAAAATAAGGTTAGAATAAAGAAAATATAAAGATAAATGAACAGCTGAAAAAATATAAAATTCATCATCACAATGAGTCTGTTTGTTCTACTATTATTGTTTATTGTAATCTTTCATAAACAGACAT